TTAAAAAAAGAATGTTAATCAGATGTCACCATTTCTGTGCCTTTCCAAAGTTCTTCTCCACTGAGAAATGCAAACACACTGCCTTGAGTCAGAGGTTGCAGAGCAAGCCCCTCTGATCCTGGTTCCTCCTGGCAATGCTAGTTTCTAGAACAAGTCCAACTCTCACACACCGTCTTCAAACTGTTGTTCCTAAAAGTCCCCTCCTTCCTCTCTCCTGCCAAGGTCCCCACACACTTCCCTATTTACGCAGCCGTTCAGCAAGCATTTACGGAGCAAGCAGAGCAGGCCACATGCGTTCACGCTGCAGCGGGAGTGGGAGCACACGGGATAGATAGCTACTGTGCCGAACACAGCACACTCCATGCTCCCCATGAGGGAAAGAGGTCAGATGAGGGAACCGAGTGGGGACGTGCCGAGCCAGGGCAGGCCCCAGTGAGAGGGAGGCGTGCGGGCAGTTGTGCAGAAGGAAGCAGGGGATGCTGGCAGAGCTGTGCAAAAGCTGCGGGCGGGAGGCAAGGCAGGTGCACGTCTGGCGTCTGGATGCAGTGGGGCACCCAGGTACCAGGCACCTGTGGGCATGGGCTTAACTAAAAAACAATTAACGAGGTTTGTGCTTTGGAAAAAGGAGAGCTCTATTTCTCACCCAGGGCAACAGCCTTTTGGGCAGCCATCCCGACAGGTTGGGAAGCTGAGCCCTGGTGCTTCCAAGAAGAGACAAAAGGGAACAGGATTTTACACCGAACGGGGTGGTCAGACACACGTATTCTACAAGCTACAGGAGTCGCGAATACTCGTGAAGGGAAATCACACACCCAACTGTGCTTTGTCCTCCCACCTGGTATGGCGGGGAACTCGGTTTTAAGGTGTTTCTGGGGCCCCCTGGGCCAGGAGGAGTCCGCGCAGTCGCAGAGGGCTCAGGACTGTTTCCAGTCCACAGGAGACCGCGCGGCTTTGGCTCTGGGACGGACCCACTGCACGGCCCGGGCAGCGCCAACCCAGCCTGGGCAGGGAGCGGCTGGGCCGCGGGGCAGGGGCCGGCGGCCCTGCAGAGCCGACGCGATCCGCTGCCGGGGGACGTGGGTGAGTCTGGCCTGAGTGAGGACGGAGACAGGAGGGCCAGTCGCGGGAGCAGGGTAGGGCTCCGGGCTCCTTGGGCAGGCCGCCATCTGTCTGCCCCGCAGCAACAGCTGCAGCCGGGGAAGACAGACCCCAGCTGCTGCCGCTCAGAACCTCACTCTGACGTCACTCCCACCGACACCTCAACCCTGTCACGTGGCAACAGAGGCCAACCGCCAACCTCTAACCGCTACTGCTCGAGGGCGCGCGCTAGGACCCCATTGGCCCAGGGCGGCGGGAGGAAGGCGCAGGCACTGACGCTGCGACCCTATTGGTCCAGGGCAGTGGGAGGAAGGTGCAGGCGCAACAACCCCATTGGCTGAGGGCGCGCCGGCGCAGGCCGCGTGTGGCGAGAGTGCATCGTGTGTGGGAGGTGGTCAAGGCGGGCGGCCATGTTGCGCCTCGCGGCCAAGCTGGTGGCCTTTTTTTGGAGGAAGGCGGACGCCCCAGATGAGGAGGCGGGGCGGCCGGGGCTGGAGCTCGCTGAAGGTGCCGGCGGGGAGGGCGTGGGCGCGGGGCCTGGCCTGCGGAGCCCAGGCGTCCTTCCAGGCGTCGGGCAGGGCTGGGGCGGCGGCGGGGCAGGGCGACCTGAGGGCCGCGGACAGGGCCCAGGGACAGCTGTGCGGCTGACCCCCGGCTCTGCAGTTCCGGTCCTTACCGCGTGCCTTACACGTGTGTAGGTGAAAGGAGGGAAAACAGCGCTCCGTGTTCTTTTTAACGCACTTGTTTGACGGAGCTTCGGTAGAATAGGGACAGTTTGAGAAATGCTGATGTCATCTGTTTGTTTTTCCGTTATAAAGCTAGGGCACGTCCTTTCCTTGGTCCTCTTTCTTCTTCTGTCCAGCATGACATAAAAAGGCTTTTTAACTATACATAGCATTTTGCATGATTTTTGGACATTTGTGTCCCTTTAGGTCTGTGCCACTATTGAGCCATTTTTCCTTATTTCCGCTTTTCATTTGTACCTGTGCCAAGTAATGTGAAAAAAACGTCTCTATGTATCTTCCCCTTTTCTCTGTTATTGTCATCACTTGGCAGTTGTGTGTTTAGAAAGCTCTGAAAAATAAGCATCCCAGCCATCTTAAATTGCCCTTTCAGAATGTAATGAAATCACACTCCTCTTTTCTTCAAGCCTTTTCTTCCTGTTTTGAACCCAGCTTCCTAAAGTCCAGGGTGTACTTACAATTTTGGCAGCTTGCCCCTTTTCTGGCCCTCAGAATTACACAGCAGCTTCCTCCCAGGTTTACTGATGTTTTCTCCCAATT